CAAGGTTTTAGCTTGAATTGTTATTTTCCAAGGCTGATTCTCTGCAAATAACTAATCAACCCATCATCACCATCCACTTGATGAAAAACACAAGCTGCATGAGGAGCATGTTTCTGTGCCTTTTCTGTCTCTGGTGCATGAAGAACGGGTCTGTCTTTGAGCCGCAGAGATGGATGTTGTGCTCATAAGACATGATTGTGGGGAGATGTAGTGCTGAAGATGAGCTTGGCTTTAAAGGGTGTCCGCTTCTCTGCGCCACTTGGAGAAGGTCACAGACGTGTCCTGTTTGCAGATGGCCTTAGCTTTGAGTGGAAAGGTCACCAGCAAGTGGCAGGTCAAGGCAACAAACTGTAAAATCCTGTCAGCTGATTGCCAAACATGCAAGCATGGGAAAGCACCACTTTTTCCAAAAAAAAAAAAGGTAGATCTATTTTTAAATGCAATACAATTTATTTTTATCATCTCAAAAGATGATAAATAAGCAGGAAGAAATAGTGTCCAAAAACTTGCATAGACTAAAAATCTAAGGTTTAAAAATTGTCAAGATTGATGATAACTAGTTTTCTGAAAACTGCATATTTTATAAAAGTGCATAGGGGAAACTGAAGAATAACAGCACACAAATAAATACATCAAGAAACATCATGGTAAACCATTATAAATTAAAATTCGAACAACATTGAACTTAAAAATAAAACAAAACTTGTGTATGCACTCTTGAACTATTTTAATTATGAAGGCATATACAGACACAATGAAAAGTTTGGACACCAATGTATTCTTTCATCTATACTACCGCTTAAAAATTTGGATCCTTATTTATTTATTTATAGATATTTCAGAATGGATGCAAACTGATCAAAAGACTATTATAATGCTAAACAAAATTCTGTTTCAAATAAATGCTGTTCTTTTGAATAAAAAATTAAAAATCCTGAAAAAAAAAAATGAAGCAGCACAACATAGCAAGTTTGATAATAATAATAAGCCTACATAAAGGTCCTTACAGTGATGAGAAACATGTCCAGATCTGACGACCCATATCCTGATACAGTATGTGTGCATTTAATCATCAGATATTTGATTACACTATGCTCTTTTATCAGTACTGTTAAATACACAGCTTGGTGCCCATTTTAATGTGACTTTTTCAAGAAGGCATTCAATTTACTTTGGCACGTCTCAGTTTAAATGTCAATTTCATGTAAAGAAAACCACTGAATCCATGTCCAGATGAATCTAAAGGGAAGGCAGATGTATTTCTGAGTGTGTGTTGGTTTGTCACCTGGATAATGTTCTTCAATTTTCATTTATGCTCAGGTCCATGAACATGGTGCGCATGAAAGTAGCGTCGAAAGATTTCCTTTAGCAATCAGTGCTGTTTTTCAAGGCTGTCTTGTTAGACGATTCTTGTTTTCATGTTGATGACATCCAGTTTTCATTGTAGATGTTGTGGAGATCCAGACAGCTTGTTAGTGTACTTTGTTTCTTTTTTTTTGTCTAGTGGTTGTTTTATTCTTCCCTCGCAGCGGAGCGCTGATATCATCTAGAAACACACAAGAGTCTTTTTCTTTGCTCACTTGAAAAGCTCTATACAAAAATGCATACACCATATATATAATTTGTTTTTTCTTTTATATGTGAAGACGATATTTTACATTTCTCAAAATGTCCTATTCTTATGGCAATACTAAATTCTAAAGTTCATGCATAATATAGTATAAAGATGTCTAAAGCAGAAGAAAAAGTACCAGGAAGCAATTAATGGCATCACCAGGGACAGATGAGAACAGAACCATTAATACAGGACAGAAACTAAAACTTTTTTCACTGTTTTTTAAACTTATTTAAAATATCCTATTTAGGT